ACTATGCACTGTCATATACTGTTGGAACAGCTGGTTTTCCTTCATGCAGATCCTTTTTAAATCCTTTGTCTGACAAAGCTGACAAGGAACAACATGTTCTTAATTAGTAGGATGCACTTGAAAACAGTTACTCTGTTTCAAAATTTTGCATTGTGGTCATAGTAAAATCAGAAATTAAATTCAGAATTAAATCTGAATTAAAAATTAAGAAATTAAGAAATTAAAATTAAGAATTAAGAAATTAAAAAATTAAGAAATTAATTAAAAATTAAGAAATTAAAATCAGATTAAATTCAGAATTTAATCTCTTTGAGACAGCAACTTTCTTCTGCACTGCATATCACTAAGCAAGCTGTAAATGCCAAACATTGATTTTCTTACCAGACTTTATGTCTGATTGCATTTTTCTTGGAACATGGCCAAACATCGCACTTTTTGTGGAATCATAGAATCATTAAGGTTGGAAAATGAGTCCAACCATAAACCTAACACTGCCCAGTCCACCACTAAACCATGTCCCTAAGCGCCACATCACACGTCTTTTAAATCCCTCCAGGGATGGTGACACCACCGTGTCCCTGGGCAGCCTGTTCCAGTGCTTTATAACCCTTTCAGTGAAGAAATTTTTCCTAATATCCAATCTAAACCTCCCCTGGCGCAACTTGAGGCCATTTCCTCTCGTCCTTTCGCCAGTTACTCGGGAGAAGAGACCAACACCCACCTCGCTATAACCTCCTTTCAGGTAGTTGTAGAGCACAATAAGGTCTCCCCTGAGCCTCCTCTTCTCCAGGCTAAACAGTCCCAGTTCCCTCAGCCGCTCCTCTTAAGATTTGCTCTCCAGACCCCTCACCAGCTTCGTTGCCCTTCTCTGGACATGCTCCAGCACCTCAACGTCCTTCTTGTAGTGAGGGGCCCAAAACTGAACACAGTATTCGAGGTGCGGCCTCACCAGTGCCGAGTACAGGGGCACGATCACTTCCCTAGTCCTGCTGGCCACACTATTTCTGATA